AACCTTTTTTTTTCAGAATGGTCCAGGCCCTAAAGGTCCAAATCAGGGTTATCTCATTTTTTTCCACAAAACAGGAAAATACAATGGAACTGACTTTAATTCAGGGGGGACCTTATCACTCTCTACAACTACCTGAAGGAAGGTTGTAGTCAGGTGGGGGTCGGGCTCTTCTCATGGGCAAATAGTGACAGGACGAGAGGGCATAGTCTGAAACTGCACTAGGGGAGGTTTAGATTAGATCTCAGAAAACACTTCCTCATGGAGAGGGTGCTCAGGCACTGGGATGCACTGCCCAGGGAAGTGGCAGAGTCACTGTCCCTGGAGGTGTTTAAGGAGAGGCTGGATGTGGCACTTAGTGCCATCGTCTGGCCAATGTGGTGGTGTTGGATCATAGGCTGGACTTAATGATCTCAGAGGTCTTTTCTAGCTTCAACAACTCTGTGACTCTGTAATGCAAAACATTGTTGTTATGGCATCAGCCATATGGCATCAGCAAACAAAAACTATGGTGGCACATAACACTGGTCTCTTCCATAGGTGCTGCGGTCCTGGTTGACAGTTTCCCAAGGTCAAGAAAAAAGTCGTATTTTAAAAATATTTGGGGACAGATCACTACTTAGAAGAGATGAAGATTCCTTCTCTGACTTGACATGGTCTTAACCTGAACATTTCAGAGTTATCTACAACACCTAAATAGAATAAAGAATTTTTTCTCATGTGAAGCAGAAATGAAGACTACAATTGTTCTTTAACAGAGAAGCTGTGCTCTTTAGCAGGCATTCAGCTCGCTGCTGCAGCACTGCTAATCCAGTTCCAATACCCATTTTGCTGTGAAAGAGAACATATTTGACTCTGGTACTGACTCTGGAGGTATAGAGTATGTTCTGGGGTTTGAATTTAGTGCCAGCTTTGAGGTATGTTTTTTATCTCCAAAAATTTACCTTAAACCAGTTCAACCTTTTTTTGAAAAGCACTTTTCTTGAGGAAATACCTTCTGCACATTGGATAAGTGGGCATTTGGATCCATATTCTTATTCAATGATTGTGATTTACTGCTGTGACATTTAAAAAACTCAGACAAGTACCGCATAAAGTGAAGCTAAATGGTGGTCTTCAGTTTTAACTGTGCATTTTCAGCGCTAGTTTCTCATGTCAGGAGTAAAACTGCCTCATACAACTTACAAGAGACGTAGCATGAAATTGTAGCATGCAGTTTTCTGAAACAGGCACAAGAGCTTAACATACTGGAGCTAATTTCTGTGTCAACTTTCATTCCATACAGATTATCATCATTTTGCATAGCTGAAGCACCAGCTCTATGTGTATATTTGGCAATGCCATACATATGCAGGTTCCTCAAGCTTTTAATAATATGAAGTCGCTGCAGACAATGCAGTTTCTCATTGTTTAGCAGATTTAAATTACTCTGTGAGTCTGTTCTTCAGTAATTAAAAGGCTCAAGCATTTTCAGCTGGATCTTTTTCTTCAGCCTAATGAGTCTCTCAATTGTGTGCAAATTTACATACCTCAGATACACCCAGGAGTTCACTAGCAGTTTATATTGATATTTTTTTTACCTCCTCACAGGAGAAAACTATTTTCCCTCACTTCTTGTAGTGTTGGTTCCTTTACTAATCATTGAATTATGAATGTAAAAACACAAACCTCAGGATTCACCACTGTCGCATGCTTGTACTTGCTAAGAGGTTTTTCTGCACCTTGTTAATGGAACGTGGAGACCACTTCCAAGGAAAGAGATTCAACTGAGTCTACTTTGCAATCTTTGTGAAAAACAAAATCCCACACTTCATGCAAGGTTTTTGCTAAAATGGACTCATAGCACTTTTTCAGTATCAACATTTCTCCGTGTAATCATTTTAAGATCAAAATTTAAAACAAAACAGAAAGCAAATTGTTAATATGAACTATGGTAGTTTCTTTCAATATGTCATATAACTAACTCAGTAGCATTCAAGAGACTATAGTGTCTTCTAAGTAGGATAGAAATGCGAGGGGCTTGCCCACTTTATAGCAGATAATCATGAGGCTAAATCCCTAAACATGAAGAATAAAAACCTCTTCTACCTTTAAAAAATATTAGTGCTGATAAAAGGCTGAATTGTCCTCAATTTATTTTACTTTTTAATTATTCTTATGAAACTTGCCATTTAAAGCCAGAAAAGCACTACAACCATACATACGTAGGTAATTGATGCTGACAATAAGACTCCTTCAGAGCTTTAAACCTCAACCACTTCTTTCCGGTGAAACCTCTAATTTTGATTTGAATACAGCAGGCCTATGCTCTCACTTGAGAATTACAGTCCTAAGGGCTTTCTTTCCTCTTATTCCTAAATGGCCTTCCTTCCTCTTCATATTGAGTCCATTTCTGTTCTCTTTAGCTATAATCAGAAAGTTATCATGAGATAGTCATAATCCCTGAGCTATTCTCCCTTGGCTAGTAAGTTAAACGAGTTTGCCCTGGTACCACATTTCATACTTTCAGATCCTAGGTCATGATTTGGTACACAGCCTGGCACTTATCTTACTCCCACTGCGAGGAACTGAGTAGGCAAGGGGCCAAGAGGCTGGCCAAGAGTGCTCTCTTGTCTCTTTTCCCCTCACTTAGCCACCTAGTCTGCTGTTGCTCTGACTTGCTTACCATAAATGCTAATCGCATGTAAGAGAATAAATAAAATTCCAGGTTCACCACAAAATTCACACCAGAGCAGTTTGATGACTCCTTGCACTTGACTTCCAGGCAACTGTCTGAGGTAACAGATTTGGGGCCCCAATCAGAGCACAGTCCTTTAAGAGGCCAACAAAAGAGCTTCTGCATTTGTTCACAAAAGTCATGGCATTATCAAGGTGGCAGATCAACCATCAAAAGATGGAGCTAGAGAAAGTTATGCTCTTCTTCTGTTCACAATTCACAGACCATGAACAAATATTCCAAGACACATGGAAAAGTATTTCACAGAGGTACAGGGCAAAACCACTGTCTAATTCATACTATTTGAAGACAGCAGGGATTGGTGGTGCAGCTCCCCCTTGCTGGGGCATAAAAGGACTGGAATAGGTTTGCAAGATGTGCTTTATTTATTTTTACTTATTCAGAATAACATCAGCTGAATAATGTAAACATTCATTCATTGAATCACATTTTGAAATCTCTCTTGATTTCAACTGGATTACTTACGGACTACGGCACAATTCAGGTTAAGTAAAGTCCCGCTTATTTCATTTACAGCAAAAAAAGCTTGTTACTGCTTCAAAATCCCTGATATAGGAGACAGATATATGAAGCGTGCCTTTCTGCTGTGGATGTTGATAGTCTGTGCTGTATCCTTCACTTAGACCTTGTGTGTAGCCTCTTAGAATGATCTGGCCTAAAATCAAAGCCACTAAAAAAATAGTGTTGATACCACTGAAATCCTGCCAAAATACATCTGAGCTGCAAAACACTGGTTTTGATGTCTTTCTAGAGAGAGTGAAAATATAGCTAGATTAAATTGCTGGATATTTCATCCCTGTTACAGATTCTAAAGACATCGCTAATAAATCTGAATTATTTCAGAGAGATAAATATTAATGTTTTGATCACAACTCCATCCCTTTTAAATGTAGTTTTGCCATCTTCAGTCAAGCAGAAAATCAGAAAAGCTCTAAAATGCAACACAGCTAATTTTTCACTATGTCAACAAACATCCCGAGGAAAGCAAAGACCATCTTACCATCCAGCTAAGCAGTCTGCAAGATGATAACATCGCTAGTTCCAAAGCCTCTTAAAAACCAGCAAGTACCTTGTTACCATAATGATTCTTTGTATTATGAAAAGTAGCATGCTGATGCAACAGACAGGCTGTTACAACTCTGCCAAGTAAAAGCAGATGTGGAAGGTAAGCCTTCCACTGAAAGAAGAATTCTTGGTATAGAGACAGAATATATTAAGTGCAATTTGCTTTCACTACACATTTATATTCAAGTAGTGTGGAGAGAAGTCTCACAAATGTTGAGTTCTCAAGGAGCAAATAGTTTTAAGAACTGATGTTAATCAGTTTTCTGAAAGCAAACCTTCTTCAGCTTTAATTATTCCCATCCCATGAAACCTTGAAACACCTCAAGACTGAGTATCTGTTCACCTACTAGTAGAACAACTTGAAAGTCATGAACAACGTCACCATGTGGTGACACCTGTCATAAGAAAATGATGTTAATACTAGGAAAACATAGCAGCCCATGTTCCATTACCTTTACTTAGCTTTAAAATTCTCTAACCTCTATCTCAGTTAGAAGAAAACATTTAAGGAAAATAAGTCAAGCATTACAAACTCTTATCTCACTATTTGTTCTCTGATGTGGCAAAGATTTGCAAAGGTATTTTCTTCAAAAGTCTCTAGAGGTACTGTCTCTTTCAAGCTTGTCCAGTACAATGAACAGAACATGCTTTAATATCCCACTCCCAGCAGTAGTAGATGGTGACAAAACTGTTCAATCTGTGACACACAGGACGAATCCCTGTTCACTGATCTTAATACCACTAATTGGCCATGTCTCCTCTAAAGCAGTAACACAAGCCGCCTACACACGAGCTGAAAATAGGCTCACTTGAAGCCTTTTTTTAAAATCAGCTAATAAAATCCATTGCAAATTCCTCATAGAGCTATATATCACATATTAAAAAAGGTATTCAAGTAACATAATCTAGCCACCTGTTACCATACACAGCAATATCTGCACCTAGGAATATCCATATTAAGTACAGACTTGGGATGAAACAAAAAAAGCCCTAGTCATGTGTTTCATTTACCTCTTAAGTAAAACAAAACCTATTTTTTTCTCAAGCCAGTATAGGACAATATTCTCAATCTAGTTTTATTCTTTCCTTCTGCATTCTCCACAATCCTACAGAATAATATAAGTCAAGAGAATTCACATCAATCACCTGAAAAAGATCTTTGACAAGCGATTGAGTATTCTGTTATGCTAAGTAGGTAGAATCAGAACTTGAACTCTGCAACGTGTACATCAGAAACAACGTGTCCATATGAGCAGCTGGAACCTTTAAAGAAGTAGGCAATCATAACTGCAAATCAAAATTTAGAAAGTTTCTCAAGATAAAAAGCTTATGATAATTCATCTGTAAAGAGTCTGGACAGGAAATACAAATGTAAAACTACATAAAGCTCATATATCTGAGTAGAATTCTAATTTCACTTTCTTGCTAGAGTAGGTTGAGTATTTTTTCATTAGATGCAATTACTATTTTATCGACACCTCTCTTTGTAATCAGAAATAGTCCACAATTTGGGAAAGACATAACAAAAATCATATTCCACAAAGTAACATGGACTTCCCTGGAGTAAATTCAATATTCTTAAACCCCTCAAAGTATACTTAAACTCTTTCAAGAACAACAAAAGCACAAATCTTACGAGTACTCACCACTGTCTTCAACAATGAAATGAAAAATGTCACTGGTGGCATTGTCACCCCCTCGTAAAACATAACATATCTTCATATCATCAATATCAGCTAGAAAGAGTCAGGAAAAAAAGGTTTTATTTTATGAAGGTAGGGAAGTTATTATAGAAAAACCTGACATGTGTTAAATAGTTCAGCTTCAACAGAGAAAGGTCAAGGTTCTCCAGCAGAACTTGGACATTTTAGTATTAACATCATTGAAGCTTTACAGATATCATTCATTCTCCCTCCCCTTACTTCCCCGTTCCCACTGCCCGCTTTAAAATGTATTTACAAAAAGAACTGAAAAGAAATGTAAAAACATGGGCTTGACAATCAGAACTATTTCATATTTTTAGTGGTGCATTTTCTTAAACAGAGCTGTATCTCCACTAATCTCCATTAATTCCGCCATTCTTCACCCTGAGAAGACCTGTAGAGTGCACAGAAAACCTGTAACTGAAACAGAAGCAAACCCCAGGGTATTTTTTTATCTAAGTTCTACCCTCCATTCAAAAGGCAACACAAATTAGACCACACCCCCACACCCTCACCAAGAACTAGATTACATCTGACATTATGTCTGCCTCTAGGACAGGATATCTCTACACATTCTGCAGTGGAGAGATCTTGATATCTTTGGTCCACCACAAAAACACCCTCTCCACCAGACCATCCTCCCTATCAGCATCTTTTCAAAGGATATGGCATATAATCTAAATGAACTGTCATAAACAGTGCTCAAACACTTATAGCGATTGACTGAACCTAAACAGATGTTATTAGACAGACGTCAGTAAGAAAAAAAATCAATGCACAATTCCAAATAATCAATTGCAGTAAAGTATGTAAAAAGTAAACAAATACTTATTAATATTTTATTTTCTGAATTCCTTAAGCAGTGATGAGAAATCTAGTACATAAAAAAATAATTTTTGTCACTTTCTCTGAAACACTGTTGTTGGCAAAAATCCACATCTGATAAGAAAAATTGTGAGAAATTAATAGCGTCAAAGTGCAGCTCAAGTATCACCCAAATTCTCCTCCCATGTTGGGGCATATGCATCAGCAAAAAGAAGCTGAAAGCACTTTTGTTAGAGCTCCTCAAAATCCCTAATTCTAAAAGCAACCAGACATATTCTAGGGCAAAAAATGTACGAGCATTATGAGCAAATACTTGTCACTGAAGAATCTCTTCCATAAACGTGAAAGTTAAAGATCAAAAATTCATGAGGCTGTAAAGAGGATGCAAACTAATACCTCTTCATGCCAGTGGAGCCAGTAAATCTTTCTTCCTGCAAATACACAAGTACTCAGCTCTGCCCATGTGGGCAGCCTTATCAGCATCAGTGGTATGTCACATATAAAGATAAGCACTTGACCCAGAGCTTGCAGGACCAGGACCATCTCATCCAAAAAAAAAAAAAAAAGCCACTTGTCATGCAAACATCTTAATTTGGTCAAAACAATTGCAAAGAAATCACCTCTTTTCTCTTCATTAAGAATGTGTTCATTGTCACTTGTGCAATTCTATGCTTTGCTTTCACAGTTGATTTGCTCATGCTAGTTATATTAAAACTTGCCTAGTTGTAAGCACAACTCATTACTGTATAACATTTTATACAGTATACATGTATACACAATGCCTGTTAAATATTAATATGATATTGGAATTTTCTAACATAATTTTGAAAACCATTCAACATAATTTTCTATTTTAAAAAAATCCATTAAATCAGGGCACATAGAAAATTCTGCAAAACAAATACACTTCACAACATAATTTCTTTGTCTCTCTGAAAACACTTTCCTGAAAAAAGAAGACAAACATCACTATCAGAGATGAATGCTAAATAAAAACGATTGCTTGCAAAGTGCCGTGGAGTTGGCTCGAGTAGCCATGTAGGTATCTTTGGCCTCAGGAGGCTACATGGAGCTCTGAAATACCAACCAAGCTACATTATTGCCAAGGCAGATAGTTGCTCTCCACTATTCCTTCCTCCTAGCTCCTCAGCACACCCGCAGAGCTGCGGGATGTGACCTCGCCCTTACTCACAAACTTACCCACATGGGTCCAGGGACTCCCAAAGCACAGCTCAGCAGTCTGTCACACTTTGTACATTCAAAACATTATCCAGATATCAGATACCTACTTGCTGTATACCACTAACCTTCTTTAAACGTGAAAGACTTGGCAGTTCCTTAGTAGGCTTTCCCCACATTTAAACAATTTATGCAATCTTAATGAATATCTGCTATGAACAAATCCAGCCCTGACTTGCTGAGACAAGTGCAGTGCAGTTATAGATATACAATTTTGTTTGCATGCATTTTTGTCCTAGAATAGCACTAGACCAGAAATTACCATGTGGCAAGCATTTTTCTTTAAGCTTTCTCTGCTTTCTCTGCATTTAGTATTACCAAATTATAAATAAAAAGCACGAAGAAATCATAATGAATTAAAAATGCTGCTTCCAAGTCTAACATAAAGTAACAGATAGTCCTTAAATAAACTTAGGAGATGCCTTTCATCCAAGACTTTCACTCTCGAGTTATTCTGTGACTTCAAGGAAGTTCTCTTTTCCTGTCCTCAGGAGATACACTATCCCTGTGTGAGTTGATGCTTTTTGCATTTCATGCAGTTTTTCCAGGCCCCTCTTCTCCCTCAAGTGCTTGGCCCTGCATTCATAAGACATCTTTATGTGTTTGCTTGATAAAATACAAACCATTACAAAAAGCATTCAGGAAGTTGAGAAGAGAGATGCCACAGAAATAACACTGATGCTCAGGAAGTATTTGTTCATAGAGGCCAAAAAAAAAAAATATTCCAGAAATGTCTATTTCTTAAAAACAACTCAACACAGATTAAAGTGCCTGTGCCAGTACTGTCAGGGAACCTGTGAAGTTATACCACCTTCTGGAGACTAGCTTTAAAACCAATTTTTCCTAAGGGTTAAATGCTTTTCACCCAGCTCAGGCAATTCGAGGACATTAAAAAAGCCTGATTGAAGACCAGTGAGCATGCAGCATGGTCAAACTCACAACTTAAAGTCACGTTAACAACTTAATTTTGGTCACTTGACATGGCACGCCTGGCCATATGGCACAAAAGAGAACAGAATATGTACCTATCCCGAGTGTCCCCCTACTCTTGAATAAATGGGGTTTCACTGTGCTATGCAGTTGTCTGCTTTCAAGGAACATCCACTCAATAATTCTACATTATCCTATGTAAGACAAAAAGTGATAATCTGTTTATTTGTTCACTCTCATTCTCTTCTGTTTCTCACTTATTCTGACAATACTCTTAAAACCACTCACAGCCTGCTACTGAAGCCTTACATTTAAGGAGCTGTGGTAGTTCTCAAAGCTTAGACATGGTTTGGTCGCTCCTCATCCTCTTTTTTTTGCACTAACTCTGCAAAACTTAGGGCATCCCAGACATTCAAAAGTTCATCAGGGCTGTTTTTAAGATTTGGTATGTCTGACAAGAACATCACTGCAGAAAAGAATGTAACATGGGATACATACTAGTATGGGCTCTGTGAAATTAAATGCAGCCAACTACAAGCTTCCACCTCCAGCCTCACCACCTACGCAGCCCCACCTCTCCAGGCTCCTTTAACTGAGTCTCCATGCTGTTGTGCTGCCTGCTCACTCTACAGCTGCAGGAAGCTGTGAGAAATCTCATTCAGGTGTTAATTAACCAGCTATTAACTCATTGCAAAGTAACATGGAAAATTCTCTGGAGAATAGATTAACGCTCTCCTTTCAATTAAAGTTACTTCATAGCCTTGTGTGGAGGCTTTATTTCAGAACATATGGCATATGCGGTTTTCGTCCTATTTATACCACTTAATATTTTAGTTCCATGTAAAAAGTAAGTACCTTTGACATAATTTTAAAACACATTACCTTTTAATTTACCACAAACACTTTGTGGTTAAAATTTGTGTAACGACAAAAACACTCATAATATACTATTTTCCCATGTTTTGAAAAGGATTTTACCTTTACAGTTAAGCGTGAGCAGACTTATAGCAACTGATACTCTAGCCATGGCATGACCATTGGTTAATAATAGCTTGGCCACTCCTGTAGCATTTTCTAAATAAAACCATTTAAAGAAGGCACTCAGCCTCTACAGATCTGGAACTACGTGCAGGTCAGTTCTGTTATCCAAATTTCTATCACCGACAGAAAGTCCAGATAACAGTTGTTTGGTCTGTAAGCTGTCCAAAGTGAAGATGCTTCTTTATTCAGTGTTTATCCAGTAAATCCCCTTTCCTGTTTAAAGCTGTCACAGATGCAATGAACAATAAACAGAACTAAAAAAATAACAAAGCCATTATAAATAACCTTGTCCACTGGAAAGTTTCTCCCATCAATTATATAGTTTAGCACAAAAAAAAGAATGATCTAAAGAAAGCATGGAGTATTGCAATACCTTGGGTGAACTGGCTGATGCTATGGTTGCCTTTCCCCAGGTGGATCAGGAAGCCATGGCGCGGAGCCTCTGTGATTCTGATCTTAAGAGTAGCGTGCAAACTGTCCCTGTCTTCCACTTTAAGCACCTTGTTGGTAATCAGAAACCCAATGTGACCTGTGGCCAGAATACGAAGAGTCTGAGCACCCTTATTTATTACGATTTGAGGTACACTGTTGTCCACGGCCATTATTCGAATCTTCATAGTCTGAGGTTTCCTTGTTTCGAACACAGTATTGGGAAAGACATAGAAATCGGTATGAGTGCCATCCGTAACAGTGAAAGAGAAGCTATCCTCAACTGATTCTGTGCCATCATGTTTGTAGCTGATTAGATTTTCATTGAGATCTTGTTTAGTGAAGGTGGTGACTGGTTTGGAGTTATTAAACATGATCTGACCATGAACTGGTATTTGAGTGATGATAAATTTTAGCAATGCATCAGGTGTATCTCTGTCTTCCACAGTCAGTTCAAATGGGGTTATCAGTTTGCATTCATTTTCACTCACCACCAGGTTATGGATTGTAACAACAGGTTTCTTATTATCTACATCACTGATAGAAATTCTGAAAGTACGAAATACAGGGTTATAACCATCGGTCACCTCAAATTCAAAGCTGTCCATTTTCACCTCATCTTCCGAAGTGTGAATGTAATAGACTTTATTGCCTGCTAACAAGAGTTGAGTAAAAGTGGAGATGGGTACCCCAGGCTGATCTGTGCATTCAAGATGACCACGAACAGGTGCTCTGGTAATGGTGAAAACTAAGTTCTCATCTGGACTATTCAGGTCACTGGTGCTAAGCAAATCAGTAGTAAGGGTTACTTTTCCTCCTTCCTTCAAAGAAACTCCTTTGCTGATGACATCTGGGAAGACAATATCAATGCTACCTATTGTCACATAAAAGTAGCGGTCAATGAGAGGATTTATTCCATCTGTCACATCAAACTTTATAAGATCACGAACTCCTTCTTGGCCAAAATGCATATATCGAATTAAGTTTCTATCCACTTCATCTTGGGTGAAGTTCATCCCCAGGGTGATATTCTCAGCTCCACCTGAAGACTTCATTCTCTGTAAGATGCCTTGTCCTGGCCCGTATCTTATAATATATGTCAAAGTTTTGTCTTCAGAATCTAGGTCAGTAGCTTTTAATATTCTATTATTAATAGTTCTAGTTTCCCCTATTTCGATCTCCAAACCATCATTGATGGCCATTCTTGGTGTCTCATCATCTACAGGAATAACCATGATGAGTACCACTTTCCTAATGGTATGTTTACCATCTGTGAGTTTCACCTCAAAACTGTCCTCCTTTGTCTCAGAGTCATCATGTTCATAGAGTATGTTTGAGGTCTCTGCTATCTGGTCCAAGGTGAAGCTCTCCACCAGGACAGTTCCATTGAGCAGCTGGTTCACAATGTGGCCGTGCCTGGGAAGTCTAGTGATTGTAAACATTAACTTATCAGCAGGGATGTCTGCGTCAACTGCGTTGAGGATAGGGGTATCAATAACGAGGCTCATGCCTTCCATCACAACAAACTCTCGCACAAAGATTTCAGGCTCTTCATCATTGATGGGCATAATGACAATGGGGAAAAAGTGCCTTTGGGAAAAGTTAATGCCATCAGAACAGCGGAAAGCAAATCTGTCTTCAACAGGTTCTACACCCTTGTGTATACTTTGGACATAAAAAATATGTCCTTGACGGAGGTCTTTCAAGGTGAAAGCACTTATAGCTATACCTGCTCTGGATTTTTCAGATCCTGGGGCTGGAGAGATGTTCTCTACATACCCAGATGCGGGCTGAGCAACAATGGTGCAGAGTATATCATCACTAGGAGTATCCACATCTTCAGCCCTCAGGTGAGCAGGAGTAATGACTCGTTTGTCACCTTCCATTATCATGAACTGCTCCCCCACAAAAATCTCCGGGGCTTGACTGTCAACAGGAAGAATGGTCACCAAGACTGAAACTCCTTGAACAACATTTCCTCTGATGCTCCACTCCTTGGACATGTCAGACAAGGTAAGGTTGAAGGTATCTTCTTTGGGCAGAAGGCCTATTTCACCACCAGTGTGAGTATATACCACAGCACCATCTAGCAGGTCTCTCTGGGAAAATCTATCTGCAGGCACCCCTCGAACCAGGATGTTCCCATGCTGAGGAGGATCCTCTAAAATGAAAGTCAACATTAAGTCATCTGTATCCTCATCCGTGCCCTGAATGACATTAGCAGTGATTTCAGCTGCACCATTCTCCAGTACATCTAGGTAGGAACCAAGAGTGCCTGGGGGCAACCGTAGCATAGGAACCTCATCATCAACGGGGTGCACATTCATTTTCAGCGTGATGGGCACAAAATGAACCCCATCACTCACATCAAGCCTGCAAGTATCACTGTTTGCCTCAGCTCCACTGTGCACATACACTACCCTGCCTTGTCTGATATCCTCCAGGCCAAAGACACCTCCTGCAAACAAACTGTACCCAGAAAGCTGCAACTGGCCATACCGAGGAGCTTGGGTCAGGACAAATCTGAGACGGGCAAGTTCCGTGTCTGTGTCAGTGGCATCCAGCTCAGTTGGACTAACGACATGGCTGCCTCCCTCAGGCAAAGTGAAGCCAGTATTAGTGATTTCAGGAGGCTGGTTATCCACAGGCTGAAGGTAGATGGTGAAAGTCCCTTTGGCTGCATTCCCAGCTGCATCTTGCACTTGATACTGAAACTGAATCAAATGAGGAGCCACCCCAAGTTCTTCCTGTGGAGGACGGTATGAGATCTTGTGATGGTTGATCTGGGCTTGGGTGAAGTGGGTAACTTCCACAGAATGATCCTCAGTCAGCACGAGGGATCCAAGGCGGCCTCCATATAAATCTGGAGGGTGGTTAGTGTCAGTGTCAGTGGGGGGCTGGGTGACTGAGTAGCGGAGTTCATGGTCCCCTGAATCCTGATCTGTATAACACAGATGCTTCCTTCTCAGCGGGGTCACCTGCTGTTCTGCAACTATTAAGTGCAGGCTGCTGCTACTGTGAAGCTCTGGGGCTAATCTGTCTACAGGATGTACCCGGATCACAAAAGTCTGTGGTCCAGAGCGGTTGGGTGGGTCATTGTCATCCTGGACTCTGAAGACAAACTGGTCCAACACAACCCCAGGGCCAGGGCTGTGGGGCCCGAAGTGGTGGTAATAAAGACGCCCTTCCACAATATCCTGTTGCAGCCACTCTCTCACTGGCTTTTCATAAATTACGGAGCTCCCTGCTAAACCTGGTACACCCCTCCAAGAAAAGCCCTCATCTTCTTCCTCCTCCTCCCAGCCAGGAGGTGGTTGTGCTTGACGGAGGAGGAGCTGCCCAGCAGTGGGGCCAGACTCCACTGTGAAAAGCAGGACAGCATCCTGTGAATCAATGTCAGTGGCACTAAGAGCACGGGTAGTGATGGGCACTGTTTCACCCTCAGCCATATCCAGCCCTGTGTCAGCGTTGAGTAGGGGTGGCTGATCATCGGTGGGTACCAGGGTAATGGGGAAAAGGAACTCCACACGGTGGCGAGAGCCACCATCTTCCAAACGCAGCACCAGATTGTCACTGAGTGGAGACTCGCTGCCGTCATGCTGGTACTAAGAGCACGGGTAGTGATGGGCACTGTTTCACCCTCAGCCATATCCAGCCCTGTGTCAGCGTTGAGTAGGGGTGGCTGATCATCGGTGGGTACCAGGGTAATGGGGAAAAGGAACTCCACACGGTGGCGAGAGCCACCATCTTCCAAACGCAGCACCAGATTGTCACTGAGTGGAGACTCGCTGCCGTCATGCTGGTAAATGACGCGGGCTGCTGCCCGCTCAGCCACTGTGGAGGGT